GAATGTAAAGAACTTTTTCGACGTTGTTTTCGCGAATCGGACGTATTGACAGGAAGATCTAAAGTAAAGCACCCTGCCCAAAGTCCATAGTGTGCATGATAATTTCAATAGTCGGATCGTGGACTCGGTACATTCGTAGGCGTTTACCCGGCACTGCAGTCAACATCGTCAGAGAACTTTGCCATTCTTAGCAGCACACCACAACCCGTCAAAGAGACAAGTAAAGTCGATCCTTTGACCAATTTTCTGCCAAACAGTTGTGGTATCTCTCCTTCTGTCCAGCGGTATTCACTCATCCCATATCCTCTCAACACCCCTTCACTATCATAGTTTCTCACTTGCTTATTCAAATGTGGTTAAGTGTGCCCTTTTAAGCGGAATTCATGAGACCTATTCACACTCATTGTTGGCTTTCCCACTCCCCGTTGTGCTGAGAATGTTGATCTGAGCCTACCCTATTAGTCCACAATCCTCTGAAAATAGGTCTAAGCGGAGGTCTCATAAATAAGTCTCATTAAATCCGCTCAAAAGGACACAATTTGCTACATTTGAACAAACAAGTAAAAAACTGTGATAGTGAAGAGGTGTTAAGAGGATATGGGATAGGTAAATACCGCCGGACTGAAGGAGAGATACCACAGACAGACAGGTAGTGAAAACAGACAAGTAGTGAAAACGTCAACTTCACTTGTCACTTGGGTATGTTGTAACTCTATGTTGACAATGACACTTCTCACTAACGAAGCCGGCAAAACGTTTGAGAATGTATCAAGTCGCGAATACAAAGTCTCTCTGACTCTCCGATCAAGTTGTGGAAACCAGGTCGACTTCGACCAAACAGAAGGCCACACCATCTTGGTCTTCAAACATAAGCCAAAATTTTGTTTAGTTTTCTTAATAAATAATGAAATAAGCATACTTTTTGGTAGTGACCTCGAACTTTTGGACTCTGGTATATTTATGTGTACAGATGTGTGTGTATGTGTATATATATATATATATATATATATGTGTGTGTGTGTGTGTGTGTGTGTATTAATTTAGGGCCAGTAACTTTTCACCCGGAAGCTCGACGCGTAATCTTTAAGAGTGTGTGAATACGCCTAGTACTGGATGCCAAGTCGGCAACATGACAGGCCACGGAATATCCTGACGATCAGTTCCAGCTCAAGGGCTTCACTTTCAGATGAGCTCATCATAAATGAAGCCTAGAGGGTAGATTTTCTTTGAATTCTACAGCCATAAACAAATACGTGCTTCTCACATTCCAGCAGACCGGGTCTTACGCAAGGAAAGATCAGCGTCTTTTTCGGATTATCTAACTGGTGCGGAGCTCAGGCAATCCTGGCGCTGACTGTATAAAACTCGAGGTGACTGGCGCCGTCGTCATGCGTTGCGCCTGCCTGAGGTTGTCAAGGCGAGAGAAAAGATGGACTCGACGACCATGAAATCGGCTGGCTTCGACTTGACGCCAATCGGTACGACCTGGAAGGCTACCTTTGAGCTGCTGTACCACCAGCCCTGCCACCACTTTTACTTGCCCTCTCGTCGGGAGAGAGGTTTGAAGCCAGAGGCACGATTGAGAGTGGATCAGCTGTTGTTGCAAGAGACGAAATCGCAGCTACCACCAAAAAAGACAAAGACGATCTGTACGGGCTATGCAGCCGTGGTCGGCGTCCCGTCCAGTGCTTATTTCAGGTACCTACTGAAGGTGTTCCTGAAGGCAAAGGTAACCACTACTTAATTGGAATATAAGTAATACGATCGATGGTAATAACAAATACAAGTTTGCTTCATCCGCACTTCCACAACCAAATGTGCTCTTGACAATCTGGCCTGGTGGTAGCATGCCGAAAGTATACACTCCACTGTTCAGATTTGAGTCCGTTTGGGGAGGCCGATAAGGTCAGTTCGGGTAAAGTGGAAACGGCAGTGATGCTTAGTCCAGAGATGAATACCTTTTGGGAAGCAAAGCAAAGTGAAATTCGTTGGTATTGTGTGAAAATGTGACTGTCAGTCGTCTATCACCTTATTCGACCGGGCGTGAAGAGAACTCTTATTCAAGACTTAATGAAAGCGTCTTTCTCGGAGCATAAAGGCAGCCAGGCCTGAGTCACTTACGTAATGGCAGTCGATTTTTTGTAGATACGAAGAATAGCATTGATGGGAAGACTTTCATTTTGTATGAAAGTGCATGAAGAAGAGAGTCAAAGGTCTATTTAACTTGATAACCCAAGTC